CCTCCGCTCTGAATGCATCTCCCACCCAGAGGGCTCAGCTGCTCGCTGGGCCAGAGGGGTAAGCGGCTCTGCGAGCGTGCCAAGTGAGGAACTGGTCTGGGTGTTGAGTGAAGCCAGTCCAGCTCACACGTGCAAGGGCGTGCACGTGCACACGCTCAGCCTGTCTGCACGGGCCTCAGAAGGTACCGTTTGCCAGTCGACAGTTTATGATCGTCGCTCGTCTGTTGGGAAGCGCTCGACCTGAGTGGCGAAGGAAATAACGTAGAACACACGTCAAGCTTCACGACTTCATTTTTCAAAAATATAAACCACAAAGTAGAGAAATAAACGCAGTGTGAATACTTATTGCAGAAGAACTTGCTGAAAAACAGCTGAAGTTAGCGGAAATGTAGCTGAAATGGAAGAACAACCCTAATGTAATAAAGTAGAAAAACACATTTTTGTTGAAATGGGTTTAGATGAGCAGAAATTAGCCCAAAAATTATGAAATTAACTAAAAATGGCTGAAATTAGCAAAAAAAAAAAGGCTGAAAGAAATTTAAGCTAGCAGAAGGAAGTGAAAAGAGCTGAAATGAGCTAAAAAATGTAGAATTAGCTGAAAAGGCTAAAATAAAAACAGCCAAATATTAGCTGAAATAGTAGAAAAGGCAGAAAATAGAAGAAAAAACTGAAACTAGCATAATTAGGCTGAAAGGGGTATAACAAGCTGAAATTAGCAAAAATAAGTTAAGGCTGAAAGTAGCAGAAAGAACACACGCATGCCCCATTAGGCTGAAGGAAGCAGAAGTGAGCACAAAGAGGAAATTATCTGAAAAAAGCTGAAATTAGCAACAACAAAAAAAACCTGCTGAAAAGTAGCTTAAAAGGCAGTAAGAAGCTTAAATCACCACAAGGAAGTGGAGAGCACATTTTTCTGAATTAGGCTGAAAAACGTTGAAATGAGTGCAAAAAAATGTGTAATTAACTGAAAAGGTTAAAATTAGCATAAAACAGCTTAATAGTTGTTGAAATACAAAAATCACAAAAAGCTGAAACTAGTAGAAAGAAGTTAGAATAAGCACAACAACGTTGTAGTTAGCGGAATGAAGCTGAGTACAAAACAGCCGATAAAACAGCTAAAATTAGCTGGAGTTATTTTTTTAATTTTTATTAATTTTGCACAAGGAAGCTGAAGCAGAACAAAATGTGAAAGGAGCATAACGAGCTGAAATGAGCAGAAATAAGTTAGAAGAAGCACAAAAATGTTGTAGTTAGCAAAAATAATCAGAAAGGAGCACAAAACAGCTGACAGTAGCTGAAAGTAGCTGAAAATATGTTTAAATTTGCACAAGTTGAAAGAAGCTGAAGCAGAACAAAATGTGAAAGGAGCAGTAAAAGGTTTTAACAGATCTAAAGATTTGAAGGATGGAAAATGAGCTCCATTCATTTCCTTAGAGGGCCAAAATGGCAGAAAAGGCTAAATATCTCCAAAAGCTGAAGTTGCGCCAAAACCAAATGTCACAGCAGGATTGTCCTGAAAGAGCTGAACGTTTTACGATTTGTTGAAATAGCACAAAAAGTACAGAACAACGTACGGTAGAAAAATGGATAATGTTTAAATGCTTCGTAAACAAATATGACGTTTCTCTGGCTGATAATTTTTAGAACAGGTCGATGATATCCAGGTTTTATGGGCTAATATTTTTATTTATTTATTTGTGGTTCAGTAACCCGGGCATGGCCGAGCGCTGATTTATTTTAAAAAGTGGACAAATTCAGCAAATTAAAGCCTTCGGTTTCTAAAAATCAGTCAAACAAGTTGTTGTGGTGGTTGTAATAATATAGGAGGCGACGGTTTAAACTCACAAACTTCATCCCAGCAGTGCAGACCCTCTCATCCTTGAAGCAGCCTCTGGCGCCCCCGCGGCTCCACAGCGCCCTCTGGTGACAGGGAGCAACTACAGCAACAGAACGTTTGCACTGATGCAAAACTACAATCAATCAGAGCAGCTCCACCACAAACTGTCCTGAAAACCTGCCGTCTTTAAAAAAGTGTGGTGAATTCTGCTTTAACTGTTGAGACATGATGACCTGACAGATTATTGCACGTTAGGAACAGGTTTTATAATTAAAAACAAACAAAAAGCTCTAGAACCTTAAATAAAATGAAAAACATGGAGATCGCAGAAAGATTAAATGGTTAAAAAAAAAAAACAACGGCATAACACATCTTAAAGTGAAAGTTTCCCCCTTACAAATTACAAAACTAAAAAGAGAAGTGAGCGTTTGTGCCTTTTCACTTTGAACCTTTTTCTTCAGAAGCCTTAAAATGAAAGAACCACCTGAGAGCAAGCCACGTCTCAAACGACTCCTCTGTTGTAACAACCTGCAGAATCAGCACCAGCCCAGGTGTGTTTCTACCAACAAGCTAAAAGCATAATGAAGACCAAGGAACTCTCCTCACAGGCCAGAGACAAAGTGGTGAAGTCGTACAGATCAGGACTGGGTCATACAAAGGTCCTGACATCCCACAGAGAAAAGCTAACTCCATTATTAGGAAATAAAAAGATGGTTCCACCGCAGCAAACCTGCCAACTGTAAGGGTTGTTCAAGAAAATTCACAACTTGAGCAAAGAAAAACCTCCAAGAGGCCAAAGAGACCACTGGTGGAGCTGGAGCGCTGGGATAATCAGTCCAAATGAGCACTAGAAGCTGCACATGGCTGGGCTTCTTGGAGGAGGGGCAGGACAAAGACAAAAATAAATAAAACAGGACCAGGATATTCAACTAACCTGCTCGGGGGGGGCACAGTTCCTGAAAGACAAGAGCTCAGGGTCCAGACATCCAGCAGTTATTGTCATTAAGTAAGTTTCCTTTACAATTTAAAATCAAATTTTATTTAAAAATGAACCCATTGGTGGGCCGAGCTGAGCACACCTGTGGGCCGGATTTGGCCCCTGGGCCACCAGTTGGGTATCCCTGAGATAAACTGATTGGCACTTCCCCCCAGACATGTAGGAGAGTGCTGCAATTAGATGAGACCAAACATCCGGTTCTGGAGGGCAGTCATTATTAACATCATGCTGCTAACGGGACCATGCTGCTAACAGGACCATGCTGCTAACAGGACTACGCTGCAAACAGGACTACGCTGCAAGACCACACTGCTAACAGAACCACACTGCTAACAGAACCACACTGCTAACAGAACTACACTGCTAACAGAACTACACTGCTAACAGGACCATGCTGCTAACAAAGCCACACTGCTAACAGGACCATGCTGCAAACAGGACTACGCTGCAAGACCACACTGCTAACAGAACCACACTGCTAACAGAACCACACTGCTAACAGAACTACACTGCTAACAGAACTACACTGCTAACAGAACTACACTGCTAACAGGACCATGCTGCTAACA